TAGGTCTTAATAGTAGCAAATCCCATATTAAGAAAAAATGCGAAATTTCTGTGGAGTCGCTACATAGTGCATATTCTGTAAAATTATCATGTCTGATTATAAACGAAATTACTGGAATCCAACCAACTACTGTTGTTAATATCAACAGGTTAAATATTCCAAAAAATATAATCCTTGCTGATCCAGATTTCTACAAACCAGGTCCATAGACTTACTAATTGGAGCAAATTTATTTTGGAAACTGATGCAAATTGGACAAATACGTCTAGGATCAGATCAGCCAGTATTACAAAAAACTTCTTTTGGATGGATAATTTCTGGAAACATTACAGAAAATTCGAATGTATCTCACTGCAATCTGTCTTTAAATAGTGATATTCAAAAACAACTAGAGAAATTCTGGTTATTAGAAGAATGCGGTGTAAAACCGGCAATATCCGAAGAAGAAGCGTCATGCGAACAACATTTTATTGAAAATACGAAACGCGATATAGAAACGGGTAGATTCGTAGTATCTATTCCGTTTAAAACGAGTACAGATGAATTAGGCGATTCGGAAGAACAAGCGCGAAGGCGATTTTTATCATTAGAACGAAAACTTAAGCATAATTCAGATTTACGTGAAAAATATGTTGATTTTATGAATGAATACAAAGCGTTAGGTCATATGACCAAAGTAAATAAATTAAATACAAATGCGATTTACTATTACTTGCCACACCATGGAGTACTTCGAGAGGAATCTGTTACTACAAAGCTTCGCGTTGTCTTCGATGCTTCGGCTGCCACATCCACAGGTTTATCACTTAATGACCTACAAATGGTAGGCCCAACAATACAAAGTAGTCTTTTGTCAATACTCTTAAGATTTCGAATTCATGCATTCGTGATAACAGCCGACATCGAGAAAATGTATAGGCAAGTAATGATTAATCCGAAAGAGCGATCGTTGCAACGAATATTTTGGCGTAGTAATCCCAACGAGGAATTAGAAATATACGAATTAAACACGGTTACGTATGGTACTGCCTCAGCGCCTTTTCTAGCAATTCGTTGTATCATGGAGCTAGCTCTAAATTGTGAAAGAAATAGACCAGAGTTATCTCAAATAATTAAAAGCGACATATACGTAGACGATTTAATTACGGGTGCTGATTCTATTCAAGAGGCAGTGAGTTTAGGCTTGGGTATTTCAAAAATTTTATCTGAAGGGTGCTTTAAATTGCGAAAATGGCACTCAAATAGCGATACGATACTTAAACTAATAAAGGGCGATGTACCTTCACAGAAAACGGTTCAATTCAGTGAAGATCAAAACACAAAAACATTAGGCCTCGGTTGGTCATGCGATTCTGATTCTTTGACGTTTAAAATTGAACCAAATGCTATAGACGGTCGTGTAACTAAAAGAATCATTCTTTCGGCTGTTGGTCAAATATTTGATCCACTAGGCCTTTTAGCGCCTTGTGTTATTAAAACGAAGATTATACTTCAAAGGCTTTGGCTAGAGCGATTAAGTTGGGATGAATCAGTTCCTCAGCCGTTACATGGTGAATGGCTTAAGATCAAATCCGAGATTCCCAAACTTAATTCGTTAATTATTCCACGTCACGTAATATTACCAAATGCACAATCAATTCAATTACATGGTTTCTCGGATGCTTCCGAACACGCGTATGGAGCATGCATCTACCTACGTTCTATTACTCGAAATAATCAGGTTTCGGTTAGGCTTCTATGCGCAAAATCTAAAGTAAGTCCGTTGAAAACTATTACGATTCCAAAACTCGAGTTATGCGCAGCTGTTGTTTTAGCCAAATTATTTACAATTGTTAAGGATGCACTTAACAACACAATATTTGAAAGCGTTACCTTATGGACAGATTCCACAATCGTGCTAGGTTGGTTGAAAACGGAACCACACCGATTAAAAACGTTCACCTCTAATAGAGTTGCCGAAGTACAAACTTTAACTAGTTCTTGTGATTGGCGGCATGTTTCCTCAAAGGACAATCCCGCAGATTTAGTGTCGCGCGGTATCAGTCCATATGAGTTGCAAGTATCTAATTTGTGGTGGTCTGGTCCAAGTTGGTTAAGCAAATCCGAATGCGATTGGCCTCAAGGGGTAAAGTGTTCAGAGAACTTACCTGAACTAAAGTGTGCCTCAAATACATTATTAATACGTGCGTTGGAACCAGTAGTAGATATACGTCGCTTCTCTTCATTGAGCAAGCTAATTAGAACAGTAGCATTTGTTCTACGATTCATTTCAATTATCTCAAATAAAGATTCTAATTCTAAGCGAACAAATAGTCCTCTTAATACTGAAGAATTAAGAAAGGCGTACAAGCTTCTGCTAAAAATGTCACAAAGCGAGTCATATACAGCAGAGATACACAACTTATTAAATAAACAAGAAATCAATACTAAAAGCAAAATTCTTAATCTTAATCCTTTTATCGATCAGGAAGGTTTATTAAGAGTTGGTGGTCGTTTAACAAATTCAGATTATTCGTATGACAAGAAACATCCTATTATCGTATCGGCACACCATCCGTTAACAAAATTAATTTTTAAATCAGAACATCTAAAATTGATGCATGCCGGCCCACAACTTTTGCTTAGTTCCTTACGTCAGTCCATTTGGCCGGTATCAGGAAGAAATCTTGCTAAATTAACAGTTAGACAGTGTGTGACTTGCTTCAGATTTAATGCGAGGAACACAAATCCTATTATGGGTAATTTGCCGAAAACTCGATTTGATGCTGGTTATCCATTCAAGGTTTGTGGGGTAGATTATGGCGGACCTTTTATTATTAAAAATCGATACGGTAGGGGCAGTAAAACTTCAAAATGTTATATGGCGCTGTTTGTATGTTTTGCTGTCAAAGCAGTTCATATTGAGCTAGTTTCTGATCTTTCGACAGATACTTTTTTATTAGCACTAAAACGATTTATTAGCAGACGCGGAAAACCTCAACAAATATATTCTGACAACGGTACTAATTTCGTTGGCGCGAATCACGAATTACAAGCGTTAAGTAAGTTCTTGATTTCAAATCAAAATAAAATTTCGGAGTTGTGCTCATCCGAAAATATAAATTGGCACTTTATTCCAGCACATTCTCCGCATTTCGGTGGCCTCTGGGAGGCAGGAATTAAATCAAGTAAAAATCATTTAAAGCGGGTTGTAGGGAATAATATTCTAACATTCGAAGAATTATCAACAGTGTTTGCACAGATCGAGGCGATTTTAAATTCCCGACCCCTCTCACCACTCTCTTCCGATCCTAACGATGAAAATCCATTAACTCCTGCTCACTTTCTCATCGGCCAACCGTTAATCGCAACACCAGAACCCGACATCACCGAGTTACCTACTGGACGACTTTCTCGTTTCCAACTCCTGGAACAAATGCGACAGAACTTCTGGCGACGATGGTCGAAGGAGTACATATCCGAATTACAGCAGAGGGTTAAATGGAAAAAGACGCAGAGAACTTTGTCACAAGGCTCCATGGTACTCGTGAAGGAGGATAATATCAATCCGTTAAAATGGAGACTGGGTCGTGTTCTGGAGTTACATCCTGGAAAAGATGGAATTTGTCGAGTGGCATCGATCCGAACCGCAAATGGTGTCATTCGTCGAGCTTTTCCAAAGATTTGTCCACTACCAATTCAAGATTGAAAGGAAGTCCTTTCAAGGCCGGGGGCATGTTAGAGACTGCGAACATCGGCAACGCAGCTTTTCAACCCGATGTGCCGAGGTAGCGGCCTCTATTCGAGGGGCGAAGAGAGCTTCACCGACCGCCGTGGTGTGAAGACACATTCAATTCACATTGTAAAATTCAAAATAAATAAACCTTATACGAAAGCGTAAATGCGTTTTAATTCGACCAAATGAGAAAATATACAGTCCACTTATTCATATACACCTGGTTCAAAAAGAAAATATATCCAGCGAGTATCACCAAATTATCAGAATTTAAAATCTCTAAATTCTTTTTTTTTGAGAATCATGAGCGGAATGTGACAGCCTAGGTACTATATCACTCCATACTTTTCATTTTGCAATCTTATAATACTTGGCATTTCAAAGAAAACCATCCTTTCCTGTTTCAGAAATCAATAGCATCCATATCTCTTGGAAAACGTTGATTAATCCATTTTTAAACTTTCAAGATGATAAAAACATTTACCTAATGACTAGACCAAGTAAAAGATAGGAGTGAAGAAAAAGGTAGAATTATATAATCTTTTATTAACAAATATTTACTATATATTCTCAAAGCGTTAAATAAATAATATTTGAAAAAAAAAACATGTAAGAAAGGGAAAAGTAAACAATATTTTAATAAAAACCAGAGTTTTCTGCCTCAAAATTTTATGTTTTTCCTAAAAAAATACATAATATTATTTTCTGTCCTTTATTATAAAATAATAAACTTACCTCTTTTCCATAATAAATTATTACTTGACACACGACTTAATGCAAAGTTCAATTTGGTTCAATAATCAAAAACAAAATAATTATTATCCTTACTTCGCGCCAAATCTACACAGGTTGGTGATACTGAATTCACGTCCAATAAATGGGAAAAATAGAACATGTTCTATTTCGTCAATTTCTTCACGAAGTTATTCATGAATTTATTCACGGCAAAATTGGATGTCAAATTGTGCTTTACACAGGTCAAATTTGACCTTGAAGCGACTTCACGAATTTCTTCATGAATTTATTGTTGGTGTAAAGCCCGTATAAGAGATGGTAGCGACAAAGCTTTCGCTTCTTGTTGGGTATTGTATTCTGTGATATAACGGAATATGAGCGATAATTTACCTCTAAAAATAAAGAGTCAATCAAGTGAAGGAATGTTCTGGAATACGTTCATGTTATGAAGAAATAGAAATAATACAAAAGGAAAAATATAATGAATTAACAGTATTTTCTTTACGAATATCGTTTTAATACAATAACAAAAAAGAGTATGAGTACATACCTTGTTGCACTTGATGCAGCGAGTTGCGAATTTTTCTTCATAACACTTGGCGCAATAGATTTCTTGTTCACGAGGGATGAAGCTCTGGGTACCGATTGGTACCTTGCATACACAACAACAGAAACACTTCTCATGCCATTGTCTGGTCTTGTATTCCATTTTCTTGGTACCTGGAACAAAAAACTATGTTAGTATAAGGTTTTTTTTTAAAGGAACAAAATTTTCTTCTGAACGAATTACTGCATTAAGTACTGTGTACAAAATTACAAAATATGTCTACTAATATTTGTAGAAAACTCATATGGTAGGTATATGGATACCACTACCTGTCCAATAGAGACTCCTGTTAAATTTTGGTAATCAAATCTCAATGCACGATAAAGACACCTTTCAATAATACTTCTTTTAATTAGCGCTGATACAATAAATTATAAAGACAATTAAGATTGTAACATTAACAATAATATTTAATCAATAGTTATCCTTAACCATTACGGCAAACCTATTTATTGTGTGTTAAGTATGTTGCCTATATTCAACCCATGTCAATTATTGTCATTATTATGGATTTAATATAACCGGTGAGATCTCATATTTGGCATTACAAATTTAGACTAATGCTGTGTAAGCGTAATATAATAATAATCTGGATGTAGAACTGAAAGACAATAAATGAAGTAAATTTTTAAAGTTTAGTGCGCGTCTTGTCCGCTAGGTGGACACAAATAAAGGGACAAAAAAATGTAAACATTCTTTGAAATTTCACTTGTTTCTCGTGATGATTATATCGAATTTTGTATGAGTGATTTTAGGTAAGATAATCTCCTGGTAGAAAAAATATCATTTTTACTTATAGGAGTGTATTGAAGTTATACTTCTATACGCGCATTCGATGTTGGAAATTTGTACGGGAGTGAATCGACAAAATCATTACATGTAAGATATATGTAAGAGAGAGAAAGCAGATATATTTTCTCTCCCGAGAATAAGTGGATTACTGATTACCACAAAAGACGCAGCTGGTGACTTCAAAAATATTTCATGTGTGAATACTAAGATAGTCAATGGCATTGTTCTATCTGTAGTCAATAACCTTTTTTCGGGTAATGTTTTTTCTTTGTCTACGTCTGCTGAAGTGCTAGACGTCCGTTGTCACCGTATCGAGTTCATTAAGATCATTAACCATGAATACCTTAGGGTTAGACTCTATGCACTGGGAAAACAGAGGAATGAAGAAGGGAACGCTTCTTCAAAAAGGCATTACCTACATTATTGTAATGTATGTCGTTCTGCTTGGTTAGAAGTTTTAAAATGATAGAGGACAAAATTGTTAAATTATGTGGCCAAATACACATAAAATAACTTGAAGTCAATTGAATGTAATTATATTGTGAATTAAGACTTTGTATCTGTTAGAAAAATATTCGTTCCTTACTGTACTTTTAGTAAAACAGCAAAGAAGTTCTGTTCTAATTCTAAACTCTTCTAAACTTCGATAGCGTGACTGAAAAACTTTTCGTAGTTGACAAAGTTGATACATTTCTTTTATCTAGGCGATGGATCTTGAAAATGGCAGATTTAAGTTTCGGTTTAATAGCTTTCTTAATTCGTTAGGTGCGTGTTAGATTTAGAAAACCAAACTTTGTTAAATTGATTTAATAGTGTGATTTTTGTAATAAAATATTGTATAAAGAAGCGGCCTAATATCAGTTGTTTAAGAATCAGTTTGTTTTACAATATTGTTACATTTTTCTATGGGTTCAGAGATTAAGTGAAGCAAACGTGGTTAACTAACTTTATTTTACTCACTAAATTACACATATAAATTATATTAATAATTATTGCCTACTATCATAAGGGTATGGCCACAGAATAATAAAACAATCAGAATGCCCACTCTGCTTGGCGAGAAAAGTACGCGCATCTCGTTCGCCTAGACGGAATCAGACATGTTTTAAACGGAACCAGTGTTGCGTTCAATGGTAACGTGTGTTAGGGTGTTCACTGTTTGCGATTTGTGTTATACAAAAATAATATATGTAAATGCAAATATATTTTTTGTAGTTTTCCGGGTTTGACACCGCGTTGAATAATTCTGGTTTTGATAAAAACCATTATTTGGACGTTTCGGCAAGGTCGCACTTGCCATTGTCAAGTCAGGTAGTAGCGCTTCTCGTTGATGCTTGAAGTTAACTTCAGTTAACTTCATATAGCCATATTTTACTAGCAAATATCTACATAACGCCCTACTGGTACTGGTAGCTTTTTAATAATCTTTTCACCGCTATTTTCTTATATTCAATTTTAACGAACATTCTCAACCTTCTGACGTTAAGAGAGGCTTTCTTGTACATCTACAAAGGCTCCAACGCCACCTAGACATATTTTGTTAATAAATATCTACATAACGCCCTATTGCCAGCTTTTTACCCATCTTTTCCGTTTTAACGAACACTCTCACCCCTTTGACGTTAGGGGATGCTTTCTTGTACATCTACAGAGGCCACAACGCCACCTAGTCATCCAAATCTGTCATCAAAGTGATTGCAAATTCTTTATTCATTTCAACAAACAGGTATTTTTCTAGTTCTCACGATTTTTACCCCTAAAAGTCCCCTCTGTTGACAGGAAGGGTTTCTTCTATACTTATCACAAGACATTAAGACATGTATGACAAGGGAGGATTTTTGATCCTCCTTCATGAGCCTTGATGGATTCTTTTAATGCTGACTTTTGGCTAATATCTTCTAGCGATATAAAAATATACTGGTTCTACCATTTCTCTGGTTAAGACGTTGTCTGGGGACCAAGAATTTGGGCGGGATCCCATGTTCCTCAATACTTGGCCGGACATTGTGCTGTCGATTTTGTATGATTTTGAAAGAGGCTGAGCGACTGGAGCCCGTTCATTTCCTGTAACTTTTTCCATTTGAACCGCGCGATTTGAGATTGGTTTCAGACTTTGATCTCTGTAGCTTCTCTCTGTTCTTCATGGCGTCCAAAATACCCTGCTAAGTTTTCGAGCTGCATCAGAAAACTCGTGTTCGGTTTAACGCAACTTCGATTGTCTTTGACGTGTTTCAGTGCCGTGTCGAAGTCCCAATTATAAGCTTTCATAGCGTACGCTATGATAACTGACGCGGACCTACTGACGCCCATTTTACAGTGAACCAGCACTGTGGAGTCTTGATCTCTAACTTTTGTAATGTATTTGTAGGTATCATCCCAATGTTTCAAGAGGTCGGTTTTTTTGTCGTCGTATACTCGGACGTTAAAGTAGTCGAAGGTGCCAGGAAAGAAGTTGTCAATCTCCCTTGTTACATTTAAAATGTTTCCAACTCCATTCTTCTGTAATTCCTCATAATTGGACGCATTCCATTCCGAACCATGTTAGACGTGGTCGAAAATTTCCATTGGAGTGTCCATCTTGCTAAGGATTATTAGCATCTCTTCGCCGATGAAAGATTTATACTCCATTTATATACAAATCGTTATTCGTTAAGACAGGAACGGTCAGACTCAATCCGGTTCTCATAATACTCCACCCAAGAATGGGTCAGTCCTCCTTGGTAGTAGTTCTGTTCACGAGTACTTCTTATATATCACGGTCTACATCCCCAGAGGCTACTTCTACGGCCCCAACACCACATACCTAACCATCCAACTGTCCGCCATCTTTGATCTGAAATTCCCATATCTTGTCTACTAAGGCCTTTTCATAATCCACAAATATTTAAGCTAGTGGTTTATTATATTCAGTACCATTTATTTTCTAATCGTTTCATAATTGCTCTGGTTAATAACTAAAGAATAATACCGAATTTTCTGCTGGAAACATGTAAGTTTTACGCATTAGTTGTTCAATTGCTGAAACTTTTTACAGTTCAATTTTACATACACTCACCGGCACGAAAAACGGAGCACTTTTAATTCTCGTTAAACTTTTATTATTATAATAACGTAAACACAAACGAAACAAACTGTTTTAGGTAATTTCTAATAAAAATTTAACTTTTGAACAAAGAACTGTTTCAGTAGATAACAATTTAAACACTAAGGAAAAAACGAAAGTAAATGTTACAAAATGAAGCTCAATTAATGAAAACTTATTAATTGATTTTATTAATGAATGTTTCCTCCACGTGGTTGGATTATTGCGTGAATTCTCTTTAGCATGCCTAAAATCAAACATGTTCGATTGGGTTTCAACGCAGTGTTTCCTGCACTGTGAGGCTTGACAATATCATGCATCAGAACAAAGTCTTTTCCACCAAAACCAGCATAAGGTACAACAAAATCTTGGAGAATTTCATCAATTTACCTGGCAGCTGTTATGGAGCCTCTCGGAACGATGTACAATTCTGTTCGTGCCTCTAGAAAAATTCCAATACACACCATAATTGAGCCCCCTCAGCCTACCTAGGACTGAAGGTACATTCTGCAAAACGCTCATGTGGTCTTCGCCATACTCTCTCACGGCCATCTGGAGAGCGCAAGGTAATCCTAGACTCATCGGTAAATAAAACGTGCCTTCAATTATTTACAGTAAAATTTAATAATAGTAAAATAAGCATGGTTTCTGGCAAACTGAAGCCGCGCACCTCGATGACGCCTGAGAAGTTGTAGGACTGTTGCAGGACTGCTTACATTTGGTTCTCCAAGCCTTCGTCTAATTGTTCGTTCACTTACGTTAGTATTTCGGACGTACTGAAGTTGATTTCGGATTTGTACAGTCGTTACACGACGATCTCGTCGACTTTGAAAGAGGATGAAGCGATCATCAAGGGCACTAGTTCTTTGTTGGAGATCGATTCCAGGTCGTCTAGTATAAGCTCCGGTTGTCAAGAAACGTGTAAAAATACGATGCACAGTACTATTGGATATTTGAAACAATGCATCAATAGTAGCCGCTGTTTCGGGATTTACAACCATAATTCTTGAGATTAAATCAACCTATTCAACTTTAAATTGTGTTTGACACTTGATTAGACTTGACAGTTTACTCACATCAACAAGAACAAAAGAATAACAACAGCTACCTTTTTACTTTTAAAAGTCATAACTAGACTTCGGCAAATATGCATATTGCATATTTTGCATATTGTGCATATTGTATGCAAATATTTCATATTTTGGCATATTTGTATAAAAGTTTGCATAAAGTGCATAA